TGAAAAATGAATAAAGTTATTTTGAATCTTGAATCTTGAATCTTGAATCTTTCAATTTAAATACAGTTCAGCCGGTGATTGTCCGCATTGTAGAGGTACAGCTCGGTAGCGAAACAGTATGTCTTGAATTTGTGATTTAATATTCTTTCGAGGATCTTCAGCACAATTTTTCAAAGATGTCTTTAACGTTTGCACATAGCGTTCCGCTAACCCATTGGTTGCTGGGTGTCCTGGGGCGATAAATTTTTGAAATATGCCTCTTTGTCGGCAAAAGTCTGTAAATTCTTGGCTAGTAAAAATAGTGGCATTATCAGAAACTAGTACAGCAGGATATCCATGTGTAGAGAAGATATCATTTAGAAATTCTATTGTCATAGCTGTGGATGGTGCGTTTTTGGTTATTCGAACCTCAGGCCATTTAGATTTTGCATCAATCACTACTAGGAAATGGTGTCCATTAAATGGTCCTGCGTAGTCCATGTGAACTCTTTCAAAGTTTTCCTTAGGGATTTCCCAAGGGTGAAAAACTTTTGTTGGCTGTTTTGTTTTGACTGTAAAGCGCAAGCTGCACATGATCGAACTTTATTTTCAATGTCTTTGTCAATTCCGGGCCAATAACAGTGGAGTCTTGCGAGTCGCTTCATTCTTACCATTCCTATGTGTGTTGCATGAAGCTCTTCTAAAACATGAGAGCGTAGTGATCTTGGAATGTATACACGTTCTCCTCTGAATACAATTCCTTGATTGGTTGAGTAGATTGGATCATTTGCACCTTCTTTTATTTGATTCATAAGATCTTTCATTCCTGGATCGTACGCAGTTTCTTTTGAAATTGAATCACTCGTGATGTTGATTGATGAGATTTGAAGGATTAAATTCTGTTCTATTTCATCTTCTTCTTTATTCAGTGCTGTGTCGATACCACGATGTTCCGTTGTTTGAAAAGTCCTGGATCGAAAGTCTACATTTTGGTGTTGTTCTGCTTTCCGATGTTTGATGTTGTATTCAAATCCTCTGAGGAAAACTGCATAGCGTAAAAGTCGACCAGCTGTCATTGGAGGAACATTCTTTGGGTGAAATATTCGTGTGAGTGGTTGGTTATCTGTGATCAATTCAAACTTTCTTCCATAGAGGTAGTTGAAAAATTTTCCAATAGAAAATACAATAGCGAGTGCTTCGCGATCAAGTTGGCTGTATTGGGACTCTGATTTTGAAAGTGAGCGGGAGACAAATGCAATGGGCGTTTCTTCTCCATTGATAATGTGTGATAGTACTCCTGAGATCCCATGTGGGCTTGCATCGCAGGCTACGGATACTGGAAGGTCCGGGTCAAAAGGAACTACCACTCTATCTGAGGCTATTTCCTTCTTGATGTTGATGAACGCTTTCTCACAATCTTTTGTCCAGTTGAATGGTTTATTCTTGATGAGTAACTGGCGTAGAGGGTAAGTTATGGTAGAAGCTGCTGGAATGAATTTTGAATAATAAGTTACAAGTCCTAGAAACTTTCTCACTTCCTCTACTGAATTTGGTCTTTGAATATTGAGGATATTTGACACTTTTGCTGGAGACTTGGATATCTTGTTATTTTCAATAACATATCCTAAGTATATGATGCTTTCTTGGAAGAATGTGCATTTATTTCTGTTGAGGTGAAGATTGTTGGTTTGAAGTCGCTCCAGACAAGCTACAAGGTTGTTGAAACATTCATCCAAAGTTGACCCGTAGACAATTATGTCGTCAAAGTAAGAGCTGACACCTGGGAGGTCTTGTAGAACTTGTTCCATTACTTTTTGAAATATGCTGGGTGCAGTCTTGATTCCAAAAGACAATCTGTTGACTTTGTAAGTACCTTTATGGGTTGATATTGTTTGAACACAAGCACTTTCTTCATCGACACCTATGTGTAGGTAAGCTTTAAAGAGGTCGAGAGTACAGAAAAACTTGGCGTTTCTCAGTTTGTGGAGTGTTTCGTCGATCCTAGGAATCGGATAGTGTGAATCGTAGAGTTGAGGGTTGACTGTGACTTTATAGTCTGCGCATAGCCTAAGTGTACCATCAGGCTTTGGCACTACAACTAAGGGTGAACCCCAGTCACATGATTCGATTTTAGTGATGATTTTGTCTTGTTCCAGTTTGTCAAGATCATGTCCCACTCTATCCCGGAGTGCATACGGTAAAGGTCTAGGTTTGAAAAATACTGGTTTGGATTGAGGTCTTAACTTAAGAGAGCAGGTGACATTAGGAATATGTCCTATTTCTGGTGAAAATATTTCTGGAAATCTTGATTCCACTACAGTAACTAGTTTGTCTGTGTCACTGGAAACTAAGTTTACATAAGTACCGGTATCTTTTGGTCTCTGGGTGTCGAGATCGTTCAAGTAGACTCCAAGTTGTCTTATCCAAGTCCTACCTAGTAGAGGGCTGTACATGTCAGGAACTAACAACTGCTGTGTAGATGAGCGTCCATTGTATTCAACCTGAACATTAACTAAGCCTAAGGGTTGAAAAACCTCATTTGTGTAAGAACGAAACCTTATATTTGTATTCTGGATTGTGTTTTGAGGAAGATTAAGTCTATCAAATTGCGCTTTTGGTAGAAGGGTATGAGCTGCGCCTGAATCTACCTCAAACTTTTGTGGTTTCCCATTGATTATAATAGTTGTGAAAAATTTTTCTGTGTCTGATGAATTGTAGTCAGTTACATTGAGAATTTGAAGTTGCCCTATTCCATAAAGTGAGTTTAAGTCCTGTGAATCATTTGGAGTAGTACTTAATGTATTAACTGTAGGCCTGGATTTCTTAGAGAGTAGAGTTGATATACAGACCTTGGCTATGTGTCCATCCTTGTCACAGCTTTGGCAGTGAAGGCGTGATTTGTTGGTTTTACATTCCCTGGACATGTGATTTGCTTTACCACATCTTAAACACAGGTTTCCAATTCCAAGTGTTGCCAAATCAACCTTATTTCGTCTTGTGGAAGGGTGATTTAGTCTGTTGTTAGATCTGTTGTTGAGGTAGGCTGTCCTTCTTGGTGTATAATTCTGGTGTGTTGGTCTTGTCAATAATTTGTTGACTTCTGCCTGTGACGATGTTTTAGGACTAGAAAAGTTGTTCAGAGTTGCACTGTCTATTTTCGAAGCTTCAATTGCTATTGCCTTTTCTACGGCAATGTCAAATGTTAAGTCCTTGGTCTGGATTAATTGTTCTCTGATTGAAGAGTCATGAATTCCCCTGATAAACTGTGATCTTAAGAATAAGTCAGATACAGATGCTTCACATGATGTACAGGTAAGTTTGCAAGTTGAAATTTGTTTCCTAAGAGCTGTTACATAGTCTGTTATTGATTCATTTTGTGCCTGCATTCTGGATAAAAACTTATGTTGTTCTACAATTTCATTGGTTTTTGGAAAGTAATTGTCTAATAATTTTGTAATTTCATCATAGGTTTGCTCATTAATACTTTTTTGGAGCTGAGAGTGAAGACAAAAGGTCATATGTTTTAGAACCTACACTATTGAGAAAAAGCTGGGCACAAATAGTTTTATCATCAAAAGCATTCTTTATCTTTAGGTAATTTTCAAATCTTTCTTTGTATAGTTGAAAAGTTTCTTTGTTTGAGTCAAATTGTTCAAAATTGGAAATCAAAGTGATGTTGGATTGTTGAGTCTTTGACATACCTTGAATAGCTGAAGACAAGGTCTTGATTAATATTTCAAACTGTTCTTGGTTCATTTTGAAAAAAATATATAAAATAAACTTTAAAACAAATAGAAAACACGTTAGGCTCTCCTCGTCGCCATTTCTGTTGTGTATTGTAAGTTTATATTTGAAATAAATAGTTAAATAAATGTAGGATGAAAAATGAGCCTTATTTTGTCACTGGTTTATTTACATCAATTGAATCACATTTTTGAAAATAACATATGATTAAATAATTAAATGCATAGCATTTGAAACATAGAGATACAACACTCTCCTTAACCCTTTTGATTGTAACATTATTGCTTTATTATTTAAAATCTAAAGATGGGTTTACAATGCCTTAGATAATTTAAGTATTAGAGCACCAAACCCACATCGAGACTTCAACTTTCAAGGACTTGTTTAATTCCTTTATTAAATAAACAACAACTTTTAAAACACTTTGCAACGGCCAAGTTATCATTATTTTTAAACAAGAAAACATCCCCGGACGATATCCTGTCCCCAGAGGCAATTTCCTAGGGCGGCTCCAAAAGACCCAGCGAGCCTAAGGCGAGTTTGTCTATACCATACGTCTATACGTCTATATTGCCAGAGAAGAATCATGATAACATGATGTCACCAGGTAATGGTTTGAAATAGTATCATTCAGTTTGGTGATAATCATTCACCATGATCATGTTTATATATTTACTGTGTTGTTTTTTTGACAGAATAAGTGTTTAAATATATGTTAAGAGTACTTTACTTATACTTTCTTATGAAATGGCGACCATACAATGTAGGTATTTTAAGCCAAGTATGAATGGAGATGAGTGTAGGATGAGTGGCGCGATCTTGTAGTCTTGTTAGTAACTAAGGCCGACATTCCTCAGACACAGCTGTTAATTAATAGCCCAAACAGCTAATGGCAACTAAGGGACCTACAGTTTATAGTGGAATCCGAACCACATTTTTTCCTTGGTATATACGAATTGGTCTAATTATCAGGATAGTACTGCGGATAGTCGTAGTACTCACTAGTGAGGACGTTAATCCACACCAGGGAGTATCCCATCCACAGTGCATGCCTATAAATATCCACAATCCGTGACCTCCAAGTAGCTGGATTACAGGACCGCCACCCGTCCTGTAATCAAAGGTAGGGTAATAAACCAGTAGGGTACTATTATGTATATATCTTCATTCCATAAATACAATCATTTAGCAAGTACCGGTACTACGTTTTATAAATCTTAATTCACAATCTTAATCAACAACTACTAGAACTGTGATAAGGTTTTTCGTTGTTTCAGTATTGGGCGGCCGAAGCATGTGAGAGTGATGGCCGGGGCACTGGAAGGGGACTTGTTTGTAGGGCCAAAAGCAGAAGAGCACCGAGGCTTGCTGAGTATCCGCTACCCCATGGAGCACGGGGTGGTCACTGACTGGAATGACATGGAGAGGATATGGAACTACATCTACAGCAATGACCAGCTGCAGACCTTCTCTGAGGAACATCCTGTGCTGCTCACAGAGGCGCCTCTTAACCCTCGCCGCAACCGCGAGAAAGCTGCCGAGATATTCTTTGAGTCTTTCAATGTACCTGCACTTTATGTGTCGATGCAAGCAGTACTTAGTCTGTGAGTGGTTTTCATTACCCATAATTATTTTGGTTAAGAAATCTGTAATAGTTGTGGTTCAGTTAGTGTACCGGAATAAATGTGGAAGTTATTTGATCAATAAAAGCAATTGGAACCTAATGTGAGAACGTTTCCCTCTAATAACTCATATTAGATTTAGTACATAAGGCAGGACATAATTAATTAACAATACCACATCCGAGAATTTTGTTTACAAATTGCAGAAAGTATTAATGGTTATATTTATGTAGAAATTCTAACCAGGGTAGTAGACTCTTAATTATCCAATCTTTTGATTGTCTAGATGATTTGGGACCAAGACAATCCCTTTTGCCTCCTCAAACCGTACTCAGACCAGAATTAGATATCTGCAATTGACTGTATTTTTTTCTTTGTTGTAGAAAGGGTACACTGTAATCAATTTATGAAAACCGTGTGATAACTTTATGGTGTTGTAATTTTTAGCCTCTTTGCCAAACGCTTTTTTCTCCTTCTTTAAAAAAAAATTTATATTTAAAATTTATATATAACTAACTGTACCCGTGGGCTTTACCCCGTTTAACTTCACAAGTGAGCTCGTTCGCATGGCTCAATCACGTCCTGGTTGAAGTTCGTTCGCTACGCTCACTCACCTTTAGGTTGAAGTTCGTTCGCTACGCTCACTCACCTTAAGGTTGGAGCTTGTTCGCTCCGCTCACTTGCCTTCAGGTTAGCTCATTCACTACGCTAACTCGCTTCCAGGTTGAAGTTCGTTCGCTACGCTCACTCACCTTTTGGTTGCAAATTGGCTGTAGTCATAAATTTAAAAAAATAATAGTGCTGCACCCTGTTGGTAATCCTTGTAACTTTAATGCTATCGGACATCATAGAACAGAACCAACTTGTTTAATTGAAACAGCTGTTAAGAAATTCCTTTTAAATATGAAAAATCATAAGGTTAATATGGGAAACTCCAGAGCCACTGGAGCGGAGCCCGAATGCCCGATCAGAATAAAAACTACTTAGTTTTCCTATTTAATGCCCAAAGAATCGGTGTACCGAATGTCAGCCTCCTAGGTAAATGGGAAATGGGAGAATTAGTGATGAGTGAGTGAGTCAGTCAGTCAGTCAGGGCTTTGCCTTTTATATACTGTATTTAGATATTTACATTTATACGTAAAACAACAAAAAGCTACATTTTAACTTGCAACTGGAACAGTAATAGCTTGCCCATATTCACAGAATTTTTTCATGAGTTAGATTTGTGGTGATTGTTGAAAGTCATATTCAAGTTTTTTTTTTCTTTATTAGCCATTGTACTTTTTAGCTACGCCACTGGAAGAACGACTGGAGTTGTCCTTGATTCGGGGGATGGTGTGACTCATGCTGTACCTATATATGAAGGCTTTGCCATGCCCCATAGTATAATGCGAGTGGATATTGCTGGTAGAGATGTCTCTAGATATTTGAGGTAAGCAGACTATATGTTGCTGGTTTTCTTTCAATTTAAATCCAACCATCTAAATTAGATGGTTTACAACCGTCTGGTAATAACCTAAAGCTACACTTTAACTTACAAAAACTTTTATTTTATTTACATTAAATTCTTAAAATTTTTTTTATATAAACAATATACTTTCAAATAACAGAATTTCCCCCCCGAGATGTTACATGATTAAGACACTAGCCAAGAACAATGTCTTACAATTTTCTTATTATTAATTTTTTGAATTTCTTTTACTATTTAAAATTTTAAAATACAGCTCAAATGAGGTAAAACTTGATATTTTTTCACAATAGAACTAGCCTATTCTAAGCTTTTGGTGTGTCATTTTATAATAAGGTTTTGCTTTTTTTCAGATAGTTTATATTCCTTTTTAACTGTTGTAAAACCAACTCAATCATTTGACTGTCAACAAATATTACTAAAAGTTTAAGTTGATGTTAATGTGGATCTGATAAGTAATTTTACAGTTACTTTTAATCATAATTCTCTATCTATAACAAACATATTTCTAAATTCAACTTAGTAATCATAAGGTTTGTTTTTCTGGAGATTGCTACTCAGGAAAGAAGGGGTCAACTTCCGTACGACAGCAGAGTTTGAAATTGTTCGGACAATCAAAGAAAAGGCTTGTTACCTGTCAAGTAATCCCCAGAAAGAAGAAACAGCAGAGACAGAAAAATACCAATACATCCTGCCTGATGGGAGCACTCTAGATGTAAGTTGTTTTTCATTTGTTTTAACACGTTGACTGCGCGCGCCGACTTTACAGGCGCTCCCCAGTGGCGGGCGAAGCCACGGCGCGCAACCGAATCAGGGAACGCAATTGGCATTCAAATATTTCAGTCTGACGAATCACAAAAGAGCAGTGGTGACTGTGCTGTGTTACCCCGAGAGTGGATGTAGTTCACTGAAACACCCAAAGGTAGCAGCACTGCACGGATCCGTATCCAGTGTCTTTGTAATGTGGGTTGAAGAGAAAAAATCCCCGAAACCAGGACAAAAGCATTGCCAGACAGGATTTTACGGGAAATTTTAGTACCAACCTACACCAAAGTAAAGCTCGCATTCTAAGCTGGCAGGCTGGCAACGATTATAACGTCTCCGTCTGAGGCTAAGCTCACACTGACTCAATATATTTCTGTTGGTCTGGTGCCGACTTTTGTCGGCGCGCGCCACCTGGGAGCGCTGGCGACGCGCAGTCAACTTGTTAATACATTGTAAGGATTACATTTTCTTAAGTGTTTATAACAGAGCATTTTTTACCCAATAAAACTATTTTTAAATGCCTTAATACTGAAGACTCGTTAGATCTTAACTTTAACCATTGAGTATTGGATACTGGTTGTATCAATAGTCAAGGCTTTAACAAAATAACATTGTATCAATAAATCATTGCAGTAATCGTATTGTTTGCTGCAGTTGTTGTAAAGCAAATCCCTGTTGCTTTACATGCTTGCATTCGATATTTATTATTTAGAATTGTAAATAAAAAATTACATGAGAGCTGTGTTTTGATTTAGAGTAATGTTTAGTTCTTATAAATATACTATCTGCTTTACCCTTGCTTCACAACGGGGAGAACAAATATATAGTGCTGCACTCTGTTGTTGAACCTTATAAACTTATTAAAATTATTGAACATCATAGAACCCGACTTATTAATTTGGTTGAAATAGCTGTAAAGATTCTCTTATTCTTATTAAATACCAGCTACTTCCTTTATTAATATTGTACATTCAAAAGTATTCATCTGTTCAAATGTAAACAAATCTTTTCTTCTTAAGAGGGTTCCACCAGCTGGCTGGTTACCGCATAAAAATGGTCCTACAAAATAGACCCTCGTGGCGTTATTAAAGTGTTTAGCGAGTTGAAATAAACAGTAAAATATTCAAATAGATTCTAACTATGTTCTGGATTAACTGAAACTTCCGAGATTATCCGTAAGTTTTTCACATGCACTTTTAACTTCTAAATAATAGTTAAAAATTAATGTTTCTTCATCCAATACAAGCTTTGTTTATGTTAAGAGCACATAAGGCACACATTTATTGGAAAACTTCTAGTTTTCAATTTTAAGAGCTTGTACAATAGAGACATGTTCAATCCCAAACTATACTGTATTTTGATCCATTCAATCCGCCATCTTGAATTAACTTCAGGCTGTCGGGTAGAACCCACTTAAGGATAGCATGGGGACTTTAAACACCACTGGGGCAGAGCTCTGATGTAGTTTCCAAAATTTAATTTCACACACACATCCCCGGACACATATAGAGCAACTTCATAAAGTTTCATCACAATTGGATGGTCGGTTTGGTAACGCATAAAGGACAAACATACAACAAACGACATACATAAGATTTTATTAGTGAGGGTCGCGGTAGGATCCGGATATCGGACTACCGTATCTGCCTGATCTGAGCTAGAACCGACGCCCTATCGAATCCATAAAAAATCGGATCCGGGGATGGATCCGGTTTTGATGGATCCGTTTTTTTTTTTACACAAAATGTTCTTTATATAGTACAATTCATACATAAGAACAGGTGTTTTGTCATAGTAATGTATTTTCAAATATAATTAATTAATTGTTCAAAAAATTAAAATAAACTTCATATAAAACAACTATCCATGTTCATATACAAGACTATCAGTGTTGATTATTATACAAGACCATCTATGTCTGTAAACAAGTTTGTCAGTGTCCATGTACAAGACTATCTGTGCCCATGTACAAGACTGTCAATGTCAATATACAAGACTATCTGTATCTATATAAAAGACTACCTGTGTCCATATACAAGACCATCTTTGTTCTAAAGAGACTGTACAAAAACACAAATAACTCACCCATAAAAGGATAAATATTCAGGATAACATTTTAAAAAAAAATCAAAAGCTTGTTTTAGTGTAGTATTTATTAAATCTTATTAATTAAAATCTATATAATAAATCTATCTAATAGATAGATATCTATCCATCTATATATTAAAATCTAAATCTTATTACTATTTTTTTTTTTTTTTTTCAGATTGGGCCTGCTAGATTTAGAGCCCCTGAAGTGCTTTTTAGGCCAGATCTCATAGGGGAAGAATATGAAGGCTTGCATGAGGTCTTACTATATGCTATCCAAAAGTCTGACATGGATCTGAGGAAGGTCTTATTTCAAAATATTGTGCTGTCGGGTGGTTCAACATTATTTAAGGTAAGTTAGTAAATCATTTATTTTTTTCAATCCTAACTGATATTGGGATATAGCCTCTTGAAATTAAGTCATTGTTTAGACCAGTGTGTAGATCGGGGGATGCCGTCGGCCACCTCTTGGTGCGGAGATTTGCCAACGGTGGGGGGCGGGAGAAAGAGAGTGTGAGGGAGGGAAAGAGAGCGATTGTAAGGGTTGTCTACGCTTGGGGTTGAGGACCAGGGTGATGACCGCGTTCATAGGAATGCAGTTATGCGCTTGTCGCAGTGGGTTAGGTTAGGTTAAAAATTCAATACATTTCCTTTCACCGTCAGAGGTGCATAACTGCATTCCTTTGAACACAGTCAGCATGCTTCTGGTTTGTCCACCCCTAGCGGAAGCCACCCTCACGGTCACGTGTAATCTCTCTCTCTCTCCCCCTCCCCCTCTCTGGCCCATCCCCAACCGATGGCAAAACTCCACAGTATGAGGAATACACGGAGGGGGACTCTTTCTACCTGATACCCGTTGGCAAAACTCCTACACTCGATGGGCGCCGCCCGTCTTTAGGCGGGAATGTGTTAATCGTACAATAGCATTGTATTAAATGATTGCATGGAAGGAATGACAAGCCTGTGCTGGGGGGAGCTGTCTTTAGACGGGCCACTTGGCTGCTACACAGTACGATCCATTGTTATTAATGTTCAACACATGCTTTTTCAAGCAGTGTTTGAGAAAATATATTTTTCTGTTATTTGGTGGGTTTTATGGGAAGGTCGTTATAAAAAATCTAAAATTTAAAAAAACGCCTGGAGATATCATGGATTAGTAGTACCCACATGATATACCAAAGTTCATTAAAATAAAATCAAACTACAAGTGTAGTATGTAGTTTTGTACTCATCTACACTCACACAGCCATACAGACATAATTTCGAAAACCACTTTTTTGGGTGCAGGATGACCCACAACCGATATTTCCACCAAAAACTCAAACTCATCGATTTTTCAAAAACAATTACTTTTTCTACATACTATGGGAAAAGTAAATGTGTATGGATAAAATTATCCAACGTTGATTAAAATATTTTAATTTTAAGGGTTTTGGAGACAAATTGCTGTCCGAAGTTAGAAGGTTGGCACCCAAGGATATCAAAATTAGGGTAAGTAATTATTACTTTCTCTTCAACTCTTATACTCAGTATTGTTGGTGTTGCCATTTTATATTTATTGAGCGTGTATGTAATCCCATACTAATTTTTTGTCTTGACTTTCATATGAAACTTCTTTAACCCTACCAGGAAGGGTGTCGGTTACCCACATACTGGTTGTAAATGAAGATGCGGATAGAAGGTGATATTTCCGTCTATTCTCTAGACTAGACAGATTGGTTGGTTGTAAAGTAACCAGAGCTGTTTGCGCTACTATATCATTACTTTTCTCACACTCTGCTGAAGAGATTACATTCAACATAGCATATCAAGCTTCACACTCTAAACTTGTAAATTATTTTCCGTGTACAACTTTTTCAAACATATACTCGTATATTGTTTAAGTTTACCCTACAATGGACTATTTTTTAATGAAATAATGAAAATCAAATTACAAAGACACATAGAGTGTATTTCCCATATAAGTAATAAGCGTAACTGAGGAAGATATTCAGGATTTTATTGTGATCATGGAAAATGATGATGATGTCTCTATGTCAGCGAGAGATTATCACTATATTACCTCGAGTTTGGATTGATCAAAAATTTTAAGATGGCACAGCTCTAGTTATAATAAAGTTTTCTTTTGATATTTTTTTGTAGTATTTTTTTACCTTTAACTTTAATATGTATTTAACGTGTTAAGAAGGATTAAAAACTTAAATTGCCTAGTTCAAATTTTTAATTGTTGATTAAATTTGTCTTTTGGGCCTTTAGGAAAAACAACCCCTTGACTCCAAAATTACGTACTTTATGGAAGTAAATAAAAACAGGTGTTGGTCTAGTAATCCACACAGAAAATTTTTTAAAGTTAAAAAATGGTATCGGTATTGCAAATTGATTTTTCAGGGATTGGTATGGAGAGTGGATAATTTTTTTGTATTGACACATCACTATTTTTTAATGAGTTATTCATAAATTGCATACTTGTTTCAGACAATACTTCAATAATCACAAATTTTGTTCCTTTAACTGAGTAAGCTTTTTTCAAAAAGAAATAGCGAACTGTGTTAGCGCTAAAACAGTATTGTGGGAGTTGGTATGAAAAGTATTACTACCTGAACTACCTTTTTTTTTTTTTTTTTTTTTTTTTTTTTTTTTAATAGAGGAAAGTAAATAAAAGAAACGTCTTATAACACTTAAAACATATTTACGCTTATACTGTTACTCACAAGACGGTAAATATACAAAAACGATGGTAAGTGGTGATCGATTTCGATTGGACACTCCAATCATCATCAGACCCAATAGGCGAATGACAAGGAATGGCGTCCCTACTTATACCCTATTGGCTACCGGAAGCACCGGCCAATACATTTTTATAAGTACAACTGGAATCAAAATGTATTTGTTCATTAATCAACTTATTTCTATCTTTACATTTTTCCTTATAAATATACAATTCTTCCCAAACATTCATTACATATCCTTTCTTACAATTCTTTAAAATATCTAGACTATCCTCCATTTTTCCTAGTGAGTGCCCATTTTGTAACAGGTGTTGTGCGACATTTGATCTTTCCGGTTTGTTGTTCTTCCACGCAGATATGTGGTTTTTGAAGCGGTTTACGAAGTTCACAGTCTGTCCAATGTAGAAGCTATCACAATCGATAAAATCAATTGTAACGATTGTGATAGCTTCTACATTGGACAGACTGTGAACTTCGTAAACCGCTTCAAAAACCACATATCTGCGTGGAAGAACAACACACCGGAAAGATCAAATGTCGCACAACACCTGTTACAAAATGGGCACTCACTAGGAAAAATGGAGGATAGTCTAGATATTTTAAAGAATTGTAAGAAAGGATATGTAATGAATGCTTGGGAAGAATTGTATATTTATAAGGAAAAATGTAAAGATAGAAATATGTTGATTAATGAACAAATACATTTTGATTCCAGTTGTACTTATAAAAATGTATTGGCCGGTGCTTCCGGTAGCCAATAGGGTATAAGTAGGGACGCCATTCAAGATTCTTGTCATTCGCCTATTGGGTCTGATGATGATTGGAGTGTCCAATCGAAATCGATCACCACTTACCATCGTTTTTGTATATTTACCGTCTTGTGAGTAACAGTATAAGCGTAAATATATGTTTTAAGTGTTATAAGACGTTTCTTTTATTTACTTTCCGTAAATTTAATAACACGTACAATGCTGATCAAGAAGTTATTTTAATAGAGGGCCAGGCTTACAAGTTACCATGGGATTGCATCGCAGCTAGAACAGCTTATTGTGCACCCTCGTTCACAGATCCTCATTCTCCGTCAAATCCCAGGTCTTTGGTGAACCGTGAGAGCCTTTTGACTATGGTGACCTGTTTTTCCCTTTGATCTCCCATCGATAGGCCAAGGGATCTCATACGCAGACCTTGTAGGGCTGGGCACATAAATATACCTTCACAGCTTTCACAAGGTCTCTGGCTGGGGCAAGCCGTAGCGAGATTTCCCCGAAAGGACTCAGCTCCTGAACTTGCTTGACCAGCCAATCCTTTGTGGCTGCGTCAGCACAACCTCCACCTTTCTTCCTGGAGGCTTCAGTAGAGTCAGCTTTGGGGGTACCACCCTTGCCCTGCTTTTTCCCAGCATCCTAATTCCCGGAGGAACTGTCTTTGCAGGCAGCAGAGTTAGGGTGCTTGGCAGCCCACACCAGCCTCCTCTCACTTCTGGATAGCACCTTTTCGCCTTTGGCTAAAGCATCCGCTATCCTCCGTCTATGCAACTCACCCCTGGAAAGTCGTTTTTCGTACGAGGGATCTCATACGCAGACCTTGTAGGGCTGGGCACATAAATATACCTTCACAGCTTTCACAAGGTTTCACAAGGCTGGGGCAAGCCGAAGCGAGATTTTCCTGAAAGGACTCAGCTCCTGAACTTGCTTGACCAGCCAATCCTTTGTGGCTGTGTCAGCACAGCCTCCACCTTTCTTCCTGGAGGCTTCATTAGAGTCAGCTTTGGGGGTACCACCCTTGCTCTGCTTTTTCCCAGCATCCTAGTTCCCGGAGGAACTGGCTTGCAGGCAGCAGAGTTAGGGTGCTTAGCAGCCCACACCAGCCTCCTCTCACTTCTGGATAGCACCTTTTCGCCTTTGGCTTAAGCATCCGCTATCCTCCATCTTTGCAACTCGCCCCTGGAAAGTCGTTTTTCGTTCCTTTCCGGTTTCTGCGAGCTTGTCGTCATCGTCAGATTTCAGTAGACCTTCCTCCTCCATTTGGGTCAGATTGTCTACATTGTTCTCACGAATACCGGGTATTTAAGTCCACCTCCCCAGTGACCCGATTAGAGAGGTAAGGGATGCGTACGACTGGGTTACCCCTGGTTCCCAGAAGGCTCCGTTAAGACACTGAATATTAGGCCCCCAGTGCCACAAGACTCTTGGCACGGATCGCATTACACCTTAGTCTAGGGCCCCCCTCACTTGGTTCTGTAGGTGGACCAACACCCAGTGGCAGAAGGTAGCTCTCCGCAGCTAACAAGTGAGAGTTGGGGTTTAGGTTGTGGCCAATCTGCCGAACCAACCCCACATGCGAGGTTTGGCCGGAACGGCGCGAAATTTTCTCCCACTCACTAAACCCCCATACCTTCCCCTGAACTACCTGGAATTACTCATGAATTTTTTATGGTTGGCCGGGTGGACAGCCTGATCTTGGTATCCACCAAATTTGATGGATTTTCCTTGAATTGCTTTACCTTAAAAGTGTAAAGTTTTTTTTTATTTAAAAAATTGTTTTACAAGATAATTCTATTATGCATTTTGATTTCAACACTGTGCTATTTGTTTTCACTTATTAATTAGTATTCATCAGGGCCAGATTTTCCAATAGGGGCACGACAAAAGGGAAAATTTTTGTTTAATGTCTTGGTACAAATAAAAAAAATAGCCATAACTTAACATACAAATCTGGCTAATAAAGCATTCTAATTTTGAAGTTCATTAGAAGAAAAAAATGTTGGTAAACTTAAACTATTTTTCATTATTACGCATCAATTTTGTAAAAACATTGGTCTTACACGGGAGAAGGCTGTAGGGATGTTGTGGAACAATATGCATCGTATTGCCACTGCCAAAATGTTGGCTCGGCGCAACGGCGCTACTGCTCTGACTGAATAGAGGTGCATGCGCGGGCTAATGTTACTATCGAGACACTGTTACCACCCTCGGCTCGCAAAACAAAAGTTGAAAAGTTATTAACCAATCTTTTGATTTTCTTACAAAAACTTGTAGGATCAAGTTGATATTTTAGGGTTACATGATAACCATGCACACAAACCGACTTCAAAACAACTGAGGCGTTTAGCTCTGTTAAGTGTAGGATCAAATTTTAAATCCTACCCTTGGCGAGGATCCAAAATTGTACTGTTTTAGATCCTAGCTTAAGAGTCCTTGGAGGCTAGCGGCACGGCCTCCTTTAACTACAGGCCACGGCGTTCGAAAAGGCAACACCGCATCGGATGGCTGGATGGCTAAACTGCTACCCTACACCACTGAACGCTCGCGCTCGCACCGCGGAGGATTGTAACAAGCACGCAAATCTATACAGGGTGATTGATATAAGTGTGCTAGCCGTTTTATTCAAAAACTATAAGAGATATCAAAAAAAGTTAAATGGTAAGTTCCTTGGATTTTTTATTTAAAAAATTTTAGTCAAGTCGAAAAAATTATTTTAACCGCCATTTTTCTAATATGGCTGCCAACTTAGATTTTTCTTATGGAACACCCATGATGTATTCCGGTAGAAAATGTAATTTTAAGACGATTTTATTCTTGTGATTTTTTTCATAAACCTAACCGTTTCAAAGATAATAATGGTTAGTTTTGAAATTTCTGCATGAGAAAGAGTTTTGATAAAGGCCTAAGCAAGCATGCCAGCTGTTTTATTCGAAAACAATTCGAAATTTCACAACTTAAACCATTATTATTAGGGATGGACGGGTCCCGAAATTTCGGG